TATAAGTATGGTATATTACAACGGTTACTTCTTCCCCATTGGCCCAACGGGCAACGGCTACTTATGCGATTCTTTCTCTCTCAATGTTATAACTTATAAATATATACAATATATTTACAATATATATGTATATATAATATATAGTTACATAATAATTTGTAAGTATATACTAATACATAATTATATAAAATATAATAATATTAAACTAATTTTTAGTAATTTTTTATCAAAAAAAGAAAAGAAAGAAATTTAAAAAAACCTAGTTGGATGTACTTATCTATTGTGATGCGATGAATTCCAAACATAAATTTATACTTGTAATTTGTAAATGATTTATTAATTATTAATAAGAATTTATTTTTATAATTTTATTTATAATTTTATGTCATTTTAAGTGATTAATAAAATTATTATTTTTTATTAATTTTTGTTGTTTTTATAATTTAAATAAAATTAAAAACATTTGATAAAAATGTAAAAAAAACCGTCGGCCCGGACCGGCCGCGTCGGGCCGGGTACCCGGCGTCCGGGTCCGGGCTGCCGGTTTGCCCGGCCCTGGCCGGATTCCGCGGCCGGGCGGGGTCGGGCCGGCCCGGTATGGACAGGCCTAGGTGTAACACTTTAGAAAGTACTTTTGGATAGAGAATGTTTGAAGATTTGGTAGGTTTTTAAAAATAAATGGGGATAGAACTTTGGTGTTTTTATCAAAAGCTCATCTAATAGTCACAATCATGCAACATTAGTGTGTAAAAAAGCTAAAAAATATAGCGAAAATATAATAACTTAGAAAAGAAATATTTTGTCCTTTTTATTTGGAGAAATCTACTACTCAAAAATGGAAGTTTTATTTAACATTTTTTGTAGCTTTCTCTATATTAAATATAAACAATAAAAGTGGATTAAATTAAGGAAAAATTGCTTCAAGGTCCCAAAATCCAAAAATCAATGTGCCACAGCCCCCCTATTTTTACCAATGTGCTACAGCTCCCAGAATTTGAAAAAAGTTTTCCCAAGCCCCTCCATCATGACTCCAACTCATCTTTTACTAATTTTTATATTTTTTACCCAAAAACCCAATTTTACTCCTCCATCATTACCTCAACTCATGACTCCAGCTCATGTTTTCCCTAACATGTTAACTACAACAGTTAACATGTTAACTTTAATAGTTAACATGTTAACCATTATCGTTAATATGTTACGTGATAGGATAGCATGTTACGAACTTCCTCCAATTCTTGGGAAAAAACAAATCAGGTGCACATCCTCTGATGAGAACAAGAATTGAAATTTTTCCATATTAGCTTAATTAGTTTTAATTTTTGAAATTTGAATTTTTAAATTTTGAATTATTGTTTAATTTAGCAGTTAATAAGTGAGAGATTTGAGGGATTCTGTGTGAGATTTCAAATTTTGTAATTGCTTTATAAAAGCATGGTTGTAATCAGATTGAATGATGAATGAAAATTGAAATAAAATTGTATTGGCTTATTGGTGTGAAACCATGGGTGTGAAACCCTAAGCTCAATTTTGTTTCTCTGTTCATTGTTCCTAGCCGTCACTTCTTCTCTCACTTCAAAAAAAAACTGTTCATCTTCTTCCTCCAAGTAACGCAACCCAACCCAACTCCCATTCCCTCCCTCTCCAAAACAACGCCACCGCTCCCCCTCCCGAACCCCTGCTCTTCGTCTTCAACCTCCCACCGCCCTGCCTCAGCTCTCATCCACCCTCGACCTTCCAAGAAACCCCCACCAAGAAACCCCCACCTACAGCTCCTTCTCCAAAGCAACGCCCCCATCTCCCCTCGTCCGCCTCTGACCATCAATGTCGTCCTCGGCCCTCTTCTTCTCCCCAGCAAACGCACCCAACGCCGCCCCAACCCTACTTCTCCGTCGCCCTCGCGAACCCCCCTGCTTTCCGTCAAAACCCCCATCACCACCGCCTTTCCCTCCCTGCCTCCTCTGTTCACTTCCCTCCCTCAGATCGGAAGTCGCAGGAGTTTTTCTTTCCCTCTGATAGAAGACAACATAAGTTCACTTGTCTTTGGTTTTGGTCAGACCAACTTGGACTTGAGACCGAGTACACAGATGTCAGAGGCTTCTTTTCTTTTCCTGAGATCAAAGAAGAACACAGGAGAAATCAGAAAATATTGATGAAATACATGGGCTTGTTAATATGATGGATCTTGGCTTCACTGAAAGAAATTCTTCTAATGGGCTTTTGGGTTTCTTTCAGCATTTTGGATAGTAAACTCTCAACTCAGTAATTTTTTGTTAATCTCATAATTGTCAGTTAATTGCATGCGTATTAAATCTCTAAACTATTATCATATATTCACTGCTTAATCTATATTTGTGAGTTGAGATAACTGAATATGTGACTGCTGAAAAATTGATATTGATCTTAGAACTTGCGCAACGATAAAAAATACTACAGTTAAATAGATCGAGATTGAAGTTGTTCATAACTATTGTCGCAAATCTTGTTAAAATCCATCGGTCACCTTAACTGTTTTAAATTAATTTCCTACCGAATATCATGAATTTTGGCGAAACGATACGTTGTTCAAATTAAATCGCTGATTCCGATAGACCCCCTCCCCCGTTTTACATCATTTTGGTATCAGAGCATGGTTCTAGGGTAGGAAATTTCTTTTTAGTTGAGTCTTTATTAAAAAAAAATTGGTCATCTCATTTAATTATTGTGCATCCATTTATATCATCTAGTTGTTAGTGCATGCCCACTCGCACGGGTCTACCCTATCGATTAGGAGAGTCAAGTGGATCAATTAGTGAGTCCAGCATGTCAGGCAGTGCAAATCCCGAATTCTCCGAACTACTTAAGCAAATCGCTGAGTTAAACGGACAAGTAGGTAACTTAGCCCAAGAGAGTAGAGCTACCAATGAAAGGCTTACTAGGCTCGAAAGAGCGCATGTTGCAACCCCACCTCCTCAAGGCCAAGGTCATGGGCACATCGTTCATCGAGCCCCACCTCAACCTGTGCATGATCCACCAATCTTTGGTGGTGAGTTCGAAATATCAAGGTACGTTAGAGGTGCACCTCAACCTGTGCATGATCCACCAATCTTTGGTGGTGAGTTCGAAATATCAAGGTACGTTAGAGGTGAGTTACCAACTTTAACTTTGCAAGAATTGACTGATGAGATAAGAAAGAAATGCCTCGTGCCTATAACTGAACAAAAATTTATTCGTGAGGAAACCGTTAACAAGCCCGTAGGTTTAATAGAATCTAACTCTGATAAGGAATTCCAGCATACTAAAATTGATAAATCATGCACTTCTGTTCCTTCTGAAACAACTCTGATTATTCCTCAAGCTACCCCTCTGATCACGAAGTTCACTAATGTTATCCCTGAAATTGTTTCTGAAATTGAAACGCAACGCCTCCTGAACTCCCTCTCGTGATTGAAAACGTTGTTGATGTTCCCCACAAAGTCCTCCCGGACAAACATGATACCCAACACGTTCCTGATGATATCTGTATGGAAGTTGAATATCAAACTGAGTCTAGTGAAATAACTACCATATTAGATGTCAAACCCCCATGCATTGTCCTGATAGTAACTCACACATAGACTGATCCATTTTGGGAAAATATAGTGATTAATGATACAAGTTTGAGCACGAGTGTTTTCATTTCCTTTTTCTCATATATTAAACGCACAAAAACACTCCTCTTTCATGCATGTGTTTGCATGTTCCTCACTATCACTGTGAGAACGAGAAATTTGTTTTGCATATTAACGAATGAACGCCTAATTATTCCATTTGATAGAGGACGTCATGCATGTTGAACACTTCGTCGAGTTACATCTGTCATTGATCGCATTGTTCGGGTCTGCATTTCATACATAGTCATTTGAGTTGATTTGGATCATTTTGTTTTGATTTGCATTGATCATATATTAGGGAATCAGTGATCTAATTTGAATAAATACATTGCTAACTGAAATGTATGATATAGAGTCGGGACCTAATTTAAAACTATTATTGCTGATATTTTAGATGGTTTGGACTTGTCCAATACAGTTCTTTATTGTTGTTTAAGATTTGACATGATATTTATGAACTTTTCCAACTCTTGACTAATTAATGGCAACATTTATATTATCGATTTGGTCATAGTTCTATTTTCAATATTGATTGATTAAACAGTTCATAATGTTATTGACAATCTACTGATATAAGCCTGACCCTAGCCCATTATTTCTGAGAGTTCTTTCACCTTACCCCCCACTTATATATATTCACCCAAACTGCAGTGAATTTTGATAATATTTTAGATGGTGAATTTACAATGCAATCTAACTAATAATTTGAGGTGCAGAAAAGTATATGATGACAGATTAAGATGCAGTCAGACTATATTGAAGATCACAAGCTTCTGCAGCTAACTCGACGGAGTCGAGTTTTCTCCCACCCGGGGAGAATGATGAGAAGGGAGAATGATGAGAACAAGAATTGAAATTTTTCCATATTAGCTAAGTTTTAATTTTTGAAATTTGAATTTTTAAATTTTGAATTGTTGTTTAATTTAGCAGTTAATAAGTGAGAGATTTGAGGGATTCTGTGTGAGATTTCAAATTTTGTAATTGCTCTATAAAAGCATGGTTGTAATCAGATTGAATGATGAATGAAAATTAAAATGAAATTGTATTGGCTTATTGGTGTGAAACCCTAAGCTCAATTTTGTTTCTCTGTTCATTGTTCTCAGCCATCACTTCTTCTCTCTCTTCAAAAAAATACTGTTCATCTTCTTCCTCCAAGTAACGCAACCCAACCCAACTCTCATTCCCTCCCTCTCCAAAACAACGCCACTGCTCCCCCTCCCAAACCCCTGCTCTTCGTCTTCAACCTCCCACCGCCCTGCCTTAGCTCTCATCCACCCTCGACCTCCCAAGAAACCCCCACCTATAGCTCCTTCTCAAAAGCAACGCCCCCATCTCCCCTCGTCCGCCTCTGACCATCAACACCGTCCTCGGCCCTCTTCTTCTCCCTAGCAAACGCACCCAACGCCGCCCCAACCCCACTTCTCCGTCGCCCTCGCGAACCCTCTGCTTTCCGTCAAAACCCCCATCACCACCGCCTTTCCCTCCCTGCCTCCTCTGTTCACTTCCCTCCCTCAGATCGGAAGTCGCAGGAGTTTTTCTTTTCCTCTGATAGAAGACAACAGGAGTTCACTTGTCTTTGGTTTTGGTCAGACCAACTTGGACTTGAGACCGAGTACACAGATGTCAGAGGCTTCTTTTCTTTTCCTGAGATCAAAGAAGAACACAGGGGAAATCAAAAAATATTAATGAAATACATGGGCTTGTTGATATGATGGATCTTGGCTTCACTGAAAGAAATTCTTCTAATGGGCTTTTGGGTTTCTCTCGGCATTTTGGATAGTAAACTCTCAACTCAGTAATTTTCTATTAATCTCATAATTGTCAGTTAATTGCATGCGTATTAAATCTCTAAACTATTATCATATATTCACTGCTTAATCTATATTTGTGAGTTGAGAGAACTGAATATGTGACTGCTGAAAAATTGATATTGATCTTAGAACTTGCGCAACGATAAAAAATACTGCAGTTAAATAGATCGAGATTGAAGTTGTTCATAACTATTGTCGCAAATCTTGTTAAAATCCATCGGTCACCTTAACTGTTTTAAATTAATTTCCTACCGAATATCATGAATTTTGGCGAAACGATACGTTGTTCAAATTAAATCACTGATTCCGATAGACCCCCTCCCCCGTTTTACATCATCCTTTGTCCCTATATCAAATATTAATATAGTTTTGAGTGAAAACCCCTACCTAAATAAACTTTTGAAATATCCAAATGGTGGAATTTTCATCATAAACTTGTCATCCGATAAATGTTTGCATTATTCATCATAAAAATAAACAATTTTAACGATAAATATCAACGGTCTGTCAGATATTTCTTCAAGGAGATGGTATAAAATCTTTCACATTCAATCAAATAAACTCAATAATATACAATAATACCGAAGATAATTCTAAGCTTAGGATAATCTAAAAACGCAAAATGAATTAACTGAACAATCTCTCAAAAATTTCATCAAACAGGTAATCTACATGCTAAAAGTCCAACTTGATGAAGACCCATCAGCAAGCTAACGACAATAATGAAACAAGTATGAGGGGTTTCAACAACGGAGGGCTTCATGAGGCCGAGCGTTGCCTGCACAGTGAACCTCCTCGCCATTAAAACCCTTCCACCAAAGCAAAATCGACGAGGGAAAAGGACATGTCGGCTCTGCAACCTCGCGAAGCAAAGAGCGGAGGAGATAGCAGCGGTTACGGCACCAGTCACCATTGCCATCATGGGGTTTTATAGCGGCCCCTAGAGTTCGTTAGGGGCATCAAGGAAGGAGGGTAGTTAACATGTTAACTATTGAAGTTAACATGTTAACTGTTGAAGTTAACATGTTAACTGTTATAGTTAAGATGTTAACTATTGTAGTTAAGATGTTAACTATTGTAGTTAACATGTTAACGATTATATATAAACTGATATCTATTATAGTTAACATGTTAACTATTATATATAAATAACAGTTAACAGATTACAAATAACAGTTAACATATAATGGATTATAGTTAACAGTTTACTGAATATAGTTATCAATTTACCAATTAAGGTTACCATGTTGCGTATTATAGTTAACATGTTACGTATAATACACAGATAATGATTAATAGTTAACAATTTATAAATAACAGTTAACAGATAATGTTAATAGTTAACAGAATAAGGTGTTAGTTAACAGATTATATATAATAGTTAACAGATAATCCCTCCATTGAAAGTTATACATCAATAACATAGCAACATAAACTGTAACTTTATAACAATAAAAACATAACGCAATCAACCAATCTCTTTCTCTTCATCTCTTCCCAATAACACCAACAACTAAAAGCTAATCAAAGCAAAAACCACAAAGCAACATCGAACTTCACCCAAAAAAAAGCTAAAAATTAAAAAAATTCAACCCCAAAAAAAATCCCCAAGGCCTCGCGCATGAAAAAGCTATAGTCCACGTCGACGACGAAGATCTAATGGATGGTAGCGGCGGAGGCGTGATCGGGGGCGTGATCGAGGCAGAGGACGGAGGCGCAGGCGAGGCAGGCATAGAGGCGGAGGGCGGCCGTGCGATGAAGGCTCGCGTCGGCTATGGGGAGCAGGAGGCGTAGCGGGGATTAATCGTGGGGCATCACGCGTGGATCTCGACGCTGGGAGAGGAAGGCTGGCGCCGCCGTCGGGATGCGGAGGCATGGGCGAGTGAGATTGAGACCAAGCAAGATGACGCGAGAAACGATGATGCGTCGTCGGTGGTGGAGAGCAGGAGGCGCTGCAGGATGCTCGTGGGCATCACGGCGGATTTCAGGCTGGTGGGAGAGGGAGCCCGACGTCATCGCGGGATCGGAGTGGCAGGGTGTGGTGAGATTGAGACCAAGCAGACCACGACAAGAATGAGGGAGAGTGAGATCTGTGATGAGGAAGAATGAGAGGGAGAGATGGGGCGTTGAGGAGCGGGAGGAGGAGAGGATGAGCGAGTTGAGGGAGGGGGCAGAGGGGGACTGGACGAGGAGGAGGAGGGAGGTGTAGGGGAGAGGGTAAAATTGGGATTTTAAATAAAATGTATTGGAACTTGGGAAGAGGTGTAATTTTTCTAAAAAATTAGGAGTTGCAACACATTGGTAAAGTAATAGGAGGACTGGGACACATTGATTTTTGGATTTTAGGACCTTGAAGCAATTTTTCCTTAAATTAAAATCATGAAATTCATAGTTTTTTTTGGGTGAAACTGGGAGGCAAAAGCCTTTGCACAAAAGAACTAAAAATAAACCTTAGGACGGACAGGCTATCACACTACAAATATTAGATTTATTTTGTAATTGTTAATGGTGTATAATATCCATGTGTTATCGTATTTTTTTAAGTTAATGTACATATTATATATAATATTAAATATAATATAAACCATGTATTATTAGAATAAATTATGAATTCTTTAATAAAATATATATTAAATTAAACAAATTACATTTTTATGAATATATAAATGCATATAATTTTACTAAAAGTTAAAAAGGAAATTGAATTTATAGTAATACTGTCATAAATTGCACGAAGTTGATAATAACACTAATTTTATTTAAAATAAAAATAAAATTTATAAAATTAAAGGGTTAATTATACGTAACATTTTATATCAATTATAAGTTATTATCATATCATGATTTTTGATAAAGATGAAATTTTGTAATAATAATAGATAAATAAATTAATTAAGAAGTGTGGATTGGTCTTCATACTCATTTGAACATGTTGGAAGCTTTGTTCATGAAAAGGCAATTTTGCCTTTGTGAATAGTCCCATATCGGAAAATGAGATGAATAGTAAAGGGTATATAATGGTTCTCTCCTTATTGGGCTTTGAATAGTGTTTTGGGTTTTGTGGGCTTTGCGTTTCTACCACACACGCGCGCGCGCGCACG